TCTTCTTTCTCGACATCCTCCTCTCTTACGCACAATTTCAACCGTTTCGACAATTCCCGCCATTTCGCCCTACCTCTTCCCCCTGTCGTATCGTTTTGCATTTTTCTTTTCCCCAAAAATTTCACGTCCTCCTTCGTTTTTCGTATCTACGTACACATCTGCCTAACCGAGCGGAGAAATTTTTAAGGTCACGTTAAAAGTATTGACGGAGAAGGTATGTTTGGTGAGCATTGATCGGAAAGGCTGAATTAACGCTAACTGGGCTGCAAAAGGAGTGCGCGCGCGATGAAAAACATCTGAATAAATTATTATTGTTTGTCGAACGTTTGGAACGAATAGCAACGCCCCCATCGTGGTAGCCCATCGCCGTCTGTACGGCCATTATTTAAACGCTCTAGTTCCACGCAGCTTATCAAATACAGGTAGGTATAATGCCAGTTTGCGGAAACGCGAACTGGATCTGCGCCGAGCGTCGCTGCTGCGACATATCTGCTTGCACGCGCTGCTGTCAGAAAAACGTATGACAAGCATTACGGTCAGGGCTGAGTTTATACAGGCGGACTTTAAATGGAACTCCGACGAAACGTATTATATCTTCCTCCTATTTTTTTTTCTTCCTTTTCGTTTTTTTCTCCTACGATGAAACTAGACCAGACGACGTAATTGTTTTTCGGCCAGAGGTATCGCATTCGTGGCTACTGCACGAATAATTACGGACGCTTTACGCGAATAAGTTCGACCCTATAAACGATAGTGGCATTCTGCAAATTCGACGCTCGCCTCGCCTCGCCTCGCCTCGCCTCGCCTCGTCGCGAGGCAGAAAACGTGAGTAACACGCGTTTACTCGCGCCGTAGATTTTAATAATGCATCGATAAGGCGAACACAAATTGCACAAGTCAACGCAATCGTCGTAACTCGTTAATCGGCGTATTAAGAAAACCTCGAACTTCTTCGTAATCGAACCGAGGAGCGTATACACCAAGACAGCCGCGACAATTATACGAATCATCATCTCGCGAGAACGTGCCGGACCCTCAAGGCTGTACCGTGAGTCATGGAAATCTGTCCAGAATAAGGCGATCGTTGCACGAAAAATTTTTTTCCACGTTAAATTTAGCCTCGTTTCTCGATGACGTCAAAATCCAGCTCATCTACTATCCGCGAAAGAACAAAAGAAACGTCGAGGCGAGCGCAGAGAAGGTCGAAATGCAAAAATTTCTTTGTATTACGAACGTTTCAGATCCATGATACCTAGAAGAAAATGTTCACGACACGATTAAGTAGCGATTGTTATCTCCGTTTCGAAGGAAAACAATCGCTTTGAGAATAATCCTAACTTTCCACGGCGAGCACCGGTCAAGATTCCCTCCTTTCTTCGAAAGGTCTGATTAACCCTGTGTCTACTGGTTGCAACATCATCGACCTTGCATGTAATCAATGGTCACCGAGAAATGCCCACTGAGAGAATAATCTGGTAGGAAAGGTAGTAATCGTGCTTTTTCCTCTCACCAGCAACTTCTTCGTTGAGTGGGCGGCGAAACACGAGATCCGGATTTCCAAATGAATGAACGTATCCAGCAAAATGCAACGGTAGGTAGAGAGGAAGAGAGAGCGGAGAAAGAGAAACAGCTCGAGACGGTCCGTCTTTTGCAAGACGCTTCTCCTAATGACGTAAACCGCATCGCAATTGAAAAGGGGTGACTTTATCCTGTCGTACTGTTCCTACTGTCCAGAACAGATCCCTTCCAGTCCAGAGCAAGTAGGAAAATATTTTTGAAAATGCCGGAACAGAAACGAGTGGAAAAGGGGGAAGATGGGAAATTGGTGGTTCGGATCGGTTGATAATCGTCGTACGACTTGACATTTTGCAGGATTTCTTGGTGGAAAGGATGCTCGGTTCTTCGTTGGATATTCACGGTGAGCAAAGTTCGAGTCCTTGATCGATTCCAGAAGTAATTAGACGGCCGGCGCGGTGCGGCGCGATGCGGCGCGCCTCTGGATGAAATTCCAGGCAGGAGGTGCCGAACCAATCTTATCTCGCGTGCCATTTAAGAAGAGGAAGAAGTAGGGCAGATGACCACGCCCGGGATTAACCGAATGGTGACGCAGACTTGGCACCAGGAACTTCTCCGGCGTATAAAACGATTATCCCTCCTTCCTTTTAGCTTTTCGACACGATTAAACGTCGCCATGTGCATCGAGGGGGGGATTGAATGGGACTATGTACCGTGACAACTACTACGAAAACTCCAGCTAGAGCTACTCGAAAAAGCGTCGGATAACGAGGAGGAAATATTGGTTTTTCCGAAAGAGAATCAAAGATAGAGGAGGAGTAGCAGCACGTTCGAGGATAATAACAAATGGAATCGGGTCAGAGAAGAATTTTCCCGTGGTCCCTGGAGCGATCTGGTCGGTCGTTGTCTTGATAAATCGAGAATCAAAATGAGGAAGATTCGAGAAACGAAGGGGAATCTACTTTCCACGGGCGTCCTCCGTCAGCCGAGGATATAGCGGCACCATTCTTCAATTCTAAATCGAATGGCCTCGGGCCCCATCCAGCCAATGGCGGCGCCGCAATTTTAGATCCAAGCGCGCGCGCTATATTTCCCCCGACAGTCCTGCTGTCTTGGTGCTATTCCCTTGGTCCCGTCACTAATCGTCGGCCCGTTTCGACCAATGGCAATCCGGTTTAGACGAGAGTAGAAGGTTAGGAAATGGGTGGTCGGGCATGGTGGGGCCGCAGCTGGCTCTCACGACGCACAAGGCTATCCTTTGTCCGAAACTCGCTTGCGATTCGCCTGCCGCTGCTAAGCCTTCAGGACGATAATAACGAAATAATTGCGATAACGACCCCGTGCCAGACGGAGACCTATGCTTCTCACCGAGGTCGCCACGTTCGACTTGCGAAATTTCCCCATTTCCGACCACTTTCCATTCTAATTCGAGCAAATTCGGGCGAAAAAGGGGGAGGAAATTCAACCGGAGCATCTTGCAGCGTAAGTAGACCGATCTACTGTACTCGCGGGATACTACCTGCCGTCACGGTAAGTACCTCGACAAATGCTCTC